CAGTGCTTCTTCACTTTTCTCGGCTGGCTCCTTGCCGACATCTTCTAGGACTTCTACGTCCTCGTCTTCGATTTCTGCCTTCTCTAGTTTTCGTATGCTACAGGTAGATTTCATTGCTGCCATGGAGCAATTCTTTGCCTGCAGCTGATCTCTTCTGACTTCTTCTATCCCATGCTCTATTGGGAACCGCAGTAGTTGGTGCAATGTTGAGGGAACAACCCTCATTGCGTATAGCCATGGCCTCCCTAGAATTGCATTATAAGGGGAGGGTGTGTCGATTACGGTGAACTCTGTCTGTATCTTCCTAGTGCCAGCCTACACCTCCAAGCTCGTTGTTCCTAGTGGCCACGTCGGTGTTCCATTGAACCCGACCATTGGGCCATTGGATTGTTCCAGATTGTCTGGGTGAAGGCCAAGCTCCTTATAACACCTGACATACATGATGTCACAAGAGCTGCCTTGGTCGATTAGGATGCGTTTCACTTGGCACTCCCTGACCTGAAGGGATACTACCAAGGCATCATTGTGGGGATGTTGGACCATCTCAAGGTCGGCTTCAATAAAGGACACTGCTGGTCCTTGGTACACCTCTGCCCGATGTCTCTTCTCCCCGACTTGGTAGACATGTTGTAGGTGCTTTACCTTTTGGGTCTCTTCCCGAATTTCATTTTCGTTGACCTTTGAGTGAATTACATTAATTACCCGAGGTCCTCTTGCCTGAGGTTACTGTGTTGGGGGAGGCGGAGCTATTGGTGCCTGAGGCAGTCGTGCCTGAGGCAGTCTTGCCTGTTCTTCCCTTGTTCTGACCTCATCGACAAGGTCTCTCAGATGGCCTTGCCTCACCAGGTCTTCTAAGTGTATTTTCAGGGCTCTACAATCCTGAGTCATGTGCTCATCTTTATTGTGGTAAGCACAATGTCTGCCAAGGTTTCTTTCCATAAACTCTCCTGGTGCCCTCGCTGGTGCTCTGAAATAGGGTCGGCTCCAAATTTTGTCCAGGACTTTGTGAATCGGGATTCAGAACACAGTTGTAACTGCCTATGTAGCCCTCAGTCCTATCTCTTGCTTGCTGGATCCATTGTTACCTCGGCCTCGCTTCGGCGAGCCATTTCGTTTTCTTGCTTTGTCTCCTTCGTCTCCAGCGTATCTTCCTCAGCTCTGGCATACTTCTCAATTCTAGCCATGAGCTCTTCCATGCTTTTTGGCAATGTATTTGCCAATGACTAGCACAATCATCTTTCAGGCCGTTCTTAAAAGACACGACCGCCACTTCTTGGTTGCATTCGGGTATTCGGTTGAACACCTCATAGTATCTTTTTGCATAGGCCCTAAGGCCTTAATCCTTACTGATTCTCAGAGCCATCAATGCGTCCACCCTTAATGGCTGTAATTTATTTGTCACGAACCTGGCCACAAACATCTCGGTCAGGCCTTCCTAGGTCTTCACACTTTCCTTTAGTAGTTTGTGAAACCAATCTGATGCAATCTCCTCGAAGGATGAGGGGAACACTTTGCAGAGCAACGGCTCATTCCCACTATACAATGCCATTGAGTTCAAGTATAATCCAACGTGGAAGTTGGGGTCTGACTTACCATTGTATATTTGAAACCTCGGCATACTGAATCTCTTTGGCACCTCAAATTTGTCCAACTCCACTAAGAATTGTGTTCTCGGCTTAACAGGTGAAGTTACCTCGGCATCGGCATTATGTTGTTTCCTCTTGAGGTAATCTCTCAAGTCTTCTTTGCTCCGCCCAGAAGCTCGGCTATCTCCCGACTTTAGTCTTTTCGGCATACTACTCTCAGCTTCGTTGTGGACCCTTTTCGACATTTCTCCATGAGTTGTGTCGAAGCACAGCTCCTGCCTTTGAACATGCCGATATTCTCCAGGGACTGCTTCTTTAGTGCGATGTGTCCTTCGTGACTCTTCTTTCCTCGACTCTCCTCACCCGACCTCCTTAGAAGGCTGGTGAGAGTGTTTTTCACTTCTGGTGTGCTGAGGGGCTATTGGGATTGGTTTCTGTCCTCCCTTCTGGGCGTTGGCCGTTGGAATCGGCGAGTCCTGCAGCGGGAATGGTGGTTGCATGACATTATTTTGCATCATAAAATTGACGACTGATTGCAGGTCTGCCAACTTGTTTGCCATCTCTTTCACTTCTTCGTCCCTCCACAGGTATCTATCCTTCCATACCTGGAGGTCGTCCTCGTTGTAGTATCCGCTTCGATCTGGTTTCTTTGGCACGTCACCATCCTGGCCGACGTCATTCTTGTCGTGATTCTGGTTCTGTGTCTCCTCATTGCGACCATCTTCCTCCACGTTTGGGTTAACGTGTTTACCACTCCTAGTAGGGATTTCGTTCCCAACCTTATCCTTTTGTCCGTCGCTGGCCATCTATTCTCCTTTCTTTCCCATAGACGGCGCCAAATTGTGTGAGTGAATTTTCGATCACACTGCCAACTTAGTATTCAGCTGGAGAGTACTGGCAAAATAGATGACACCTGACTGATCTGTAACAGAAAGAGAAGATTTCGGCGGTGGTTTGTCCACCCGGGGGCACTCCGACGATCAAGTCAGTATATCTCTCAAAGATAATCAATTGCTGAACTCACTGTTCTGAGAATAAATTGCGCACCTTAGACCCATCAGGAGTACCTTTCTCTTATAGTTAACTCAATCCTAGTCCCCATAGAAGCCTAGCTTCAATGGACTTCTGCTCAGTGCTTATCTTGGACTCTCCAAGAGATAAAGATACACTCTCTAAGAGTGTTATTCTTATCCATACTAAAGTCCTTCCTCATTCTAGGATTCTTATGTCTTATTCGCTTATCTCGGATTCCGATATCTTCGGAGATAACCTCGGCCTAGCTGAGATCACCTCGGCGTCATGACTTCAACACGTGGCACCTCGGCTGACACGTCGACATTACCTTGGCCACGTGTTGGTACTCTGAAAATGTATCCCCACAAATACTATAGAATACCACGTGTCTATACTCCGAGATTACTAAATAATTACCCTATGTTTTATAGATGATTAATACTACAAACTCATCTTTATATATTTCAAATTTATCTAGAATTTTTATCTTGTGGTTTAGATTCATTTTACATATGGATCTCACACTACACAAATTCAATCACAGCTACAAAATCTTATTCAGAGTAAATTTGAAGTAGATAAGAGTGAGTACCTAAAATTATTCTTTGTAGATCTCGCACTCCTAAAAAATTATGTTCGTTTTAATGATTAATTTCTCCATATTTTTATTTTGGGTAAATTACAAACACATCCCATGAGATTTACTTAAATTATAAATTATTCCTTATTTTTCTAGATATTACATTATGCCTCCTAAAATTTCTAATTTCATAATAAATAGGTCCTTTTATTAGTAAATCATCAAGTTAATTAATAGTTTTTAATCATATTAAAATTTTATTTCTATTAATAATTCAAATAATTTTATTATTATATAGGTGAACAGTTAAAAATTTCACTTTTTTAATTAATTCTGTTAAATAAAAAATTCTGACAATAAACTATTTATAATTTTCTAAACCAAGTGGAGTAATTCATGTTTTAAGCAAAGCTCAAGATTATTTGTAATTTACCCTTTTATTTTTTATTGCTAGCAATGATTAATTTCTTTATATGTAGAAAAATTGAAGAAACAATGTTGGTGGGAGACTAGCTATTTCCCAACCGCTAAAAGCAATATTTCGCTGCACGTTGGAAGTTGACAGCGCAACCACCAACATAGTTGTTGGCGGGGCTGCTTCTTCTGCTTAGCTGCTTATATTCTAATGAATACAATCGCTTGTTTTTTACCATACTACCCCTGTCTCGCCTTGACCCATATTTTCATTATTATTGTTATTATTAATTACTCCATTATTCATCCAACTATGTTTGGTTCATCAACTTATATAAAAATTTATAAAGATAAAATATATATGAAATGTAGATAAAATTAACAGCATTTACATATATTTCACTTAAGCCTCGTTTGGGAACCAGTCCATTTAGCCAAAAAGTCAAAAAGTTACTAAAAAAGTCAAAAAGCCAACAACCTATATAAAAAAGTCAAAGATTCTCTTTTCTCTCTACTTTTTGCACATCTTTTTGTAAAAAGGCAAAAAGTCATCACAAACATACTAGTTTTTTTTAGCTCATATTTTAGCCAAATAATCAAAAAGTTACTAAATTAGCATGTTCCCAAACGAGACCTTACTTTTAAATTTTTTTTTTCAAATTTTTATTGAAATTCGTGAATCAAACACAACACTATACACAAAGAAAAACATCTTAAAATTATTTCAAAATAAATGTGTGGAACACATCACATGGTAAATCAAAAGGTAAATTACAATGATCTCCCATGTGGTTTGAAAATATATATATATATATATATACACAGTAAGACTCACAACGTTGACATAATTATATTAGATTTTCTTAATAATTCAATTTATATACTAACACTTAAATAATGTGTTAGTCGCATGAATAGAAAAATAATATTATCATCTATTTTATATTGAAATGCATGTATATATTTTGGTTTATCCCTAAAAAAATTAGTAACTCAAATCATCTAAGTGAATTTTTGTATTGTAATAGGCCTGATCAATTAGACTAGACGATTTCAATTCACGTTTCCGAGTAAAGCAAAGAGAAGGCGGACCTAGCCCTAACTTATTTTGTGTTCTACGGACAAAAGAAGGGGGTTAGCGTTGGAAATTCAAACAAACCTGTTAGACGTATTTGATACCAACTAGGTTGGTTCTGTTGATACTACTATGTGTATTAGCTCCGACTCCTTTTGTCTTGAAGTGAAAGAAATCCAAAACAAAAGGGATAACGTACAGATGTTACTCTAAATTGATCTCTATCTAATTACTTATCATTAAATTTTAATCTGATTTGTCCCCTCCTCTTGCCTCTAACAACTACAGCCAAACCCCCTTATTATTATTTATTATTATGTTTAACTAATGATGTACACATATATATTTTAAAGTTCTAAGTAAACTAATTAGACATATATTAGTTTTCCATTTTGGAGCATATATCACCTTTGGCTTAAGGTGTTTGGAGACTTTGGTCTGTTCTTCAAAAGATGGCGATGATGACAATGATGATGAAGATGAAGAAGGCTATCCCTTCAAAGGCTTTGGTGATCAAAATCAACCTAGTTATCCTTGCTTTCTTATTTGTCATCTATGGAACTCTTCTTCTTTGGCCATCATCGTCAGTCTACCATGAAAATGCAGCTGCTCTTGTTAGGTGCTCTCTGCGCGGTTGCCATCACAAGGTGAGGTGAGCCAATTCAAGTAGTTTTTATTGAGTCATTTTTGTTGAATAAATATATTAGAATTGTGTTCCTTGATTACTAACCCATGTGGTTGAGATTGATTTTTTTTTAAATTTTTAGGTGGACAAAGGGATTAAGATGAAGGCAGTGTTGGAAGAGACTGAAACCAATCATCCGAAGCCCAAGAGAAATTTAGTGAAGACAGAGAAGCCGAGCTTCTTGAATGATCATATAGGGAATGGAACAAAGATTGGAATGGTGAATATGAATGAAGAGGATATAAGTGAATGGAACACTAATGGAGAAACTATACCCATTGATTTTGGGCAAGTTTCAGAGATATTTGAGTGGAAGGACTTGTTTCCAGAATGGATTGATGAGGAGGAAGAGATAGATGGACCGTTATGCCCGGAGATTCCAATGCCTGACTTGGAGAATTATGGGTATGTGGACATGGTAGTGGCAAAATTGCCCTGCAAGTACCCAGAAGAAGGGTGGGGGAGGGATGTGTTTAGGCTGCAGGTGCATCTGATAGCGGCCAAGTTGGCGGCAAAGAGAGGGAAAAGAGGGTGGAATGAGGGGAGGACCAAAGTGGTGCTGCTGAGCAAGTGCAGGCCAATGCTGGAGCTGTTTCGATGCAATGACATGGTCACACAAGAAGGCGACTGGTGGTTCTTTCAGCCCCAAATTGAGAGGTTGGAGCACAAGATTTCACTGCCTGTTGGCTCCTGCAATTTGGCTCTCCCACTCTGGGGAAAAGGTATGCTTCCTAATTATATTCTCTCACTCCCTCCTAACAAACAGACATGATTTTTTTATTCTATTACCATTCAAACTCATAGCATAAGCTATCTCCTTGAAGAGTTTATAGCAATTTAATTGATCAATCGTTTAATTCTTTAAAGTTAATTCTTCTTTTAGATAGAAAAACATTAAATCAGAGTTAATTATCATAAAATTGTAAGCTATTTTTTGAGTGAATTAACAAATAGAAAAGATGCAAAAATTAAATTGACCATTCTTCAAAGTTAAATTTTCTTTTAGGTACATAGACATTAAAAGAGAGTTAATTGTCATAAAATTGTTAGCCATTTTTGGAGTGAAGCATTACCAAATAGAAAAGATGCAAAATAAAGAGAAAACGCGTCAGGTAGGGGTCGAACCTACGACTTTCTGCTTAGGAAACAGACGCTCTATCCACTGAGCTACAGACGCAATTTCTGTAATTTGATTTTGGAAAACATATTTAAATGGATTGTTATTCTTCAATAATAGTACTCCACCTACTACACCAGAAAATGACCAACTACTTTTATGACAGCTAAGCATCTGTTTATACCTAAATTGATAGCACCTGAGGAAAAACACACACACAAAAAACAAAACAAAAAAAAGAGTTTACAACTTGATCAAGTCAAATCTATTTTTTGGCTAAATAGAATATCATTTTTTTTTTTGCAAGTTTACTTTAATGGTGTCAAAGTCATTTTTTTTTGGTACAATTGTAATTTCTCTTTTTAATTAGGCATTTGGCCAAGTACCTTTTGTGGTGTGAGGTATCAAGTTCAACTGCTATTAAGAGCAGTTTGACACTATTTATGGTGATGATTTATTTCTCCCATATTATAAGGGTTGTTTGATGATATAAATATTTTTTTTATTTATAATTACTCTCTTATCGATTAAATAAAATAAAATAAAATAAAAAATCTATTTTCAACCCTTAGATGAGCTTACTATAATTATAGTCATTAATCACCATGCAAATTTGATGTGACAAATTTAACTAAGTTATAATTTGACATTAAATTTGACAAATTACTCAAGTTGAAGTTTGAGAGGTTTTATTGAAAAATGACTGGTGTAAATTTTCATTTGTTGTTAGAGATGCTCTAAGTTCATGGTTGAAGTTAATAATTTATGCATAGAAACTACTCAAACTATTAGTCATAAAAATATTTTTATTTCAAGAAATTAGTTACATATTTGTAAAAAAAAAAAAAAAAAAAAAAAAAAAAATTATAGGCTTTGGAAAAAAAAAAAAAAGAAAAAATTGCTTAATTGAGTGGTTGTGTAAAATATGGGCTGCATTAAAGACCTTCCTAAGGTTTAGAAACCACCATAAACAACAGGACCAAGACAAAACACACCATAAGCATAGTGAAAATATTTAAATTAAGAACCACTATGATGAATAATGTTTTAACTTGAAATAAACATATACCTCAAAATAAATAAATAAAATAGACTACGCCTCTTTTCTAGCAAAAGAGTAACAATTGGAGAAACAATAATAAAAATATATATTCTACCATGTTGATTTAGAAATATTATTTATTATATACCGTGTTAAGGCGATATTTCAATACTTTAAAAAAAAAAAGTATTGATAGAAAACTTTGTGAAACATAAATTAAAAATAATTAAGGATTCAATTCTATACATGAAAACTATATAAATTTCTACTATATAAATAAGTGTATACATACCTTGATCCATGATAGTATGAAAATCTCTTTTGAGAAAAAGAAACCTTGAATAGAAGACTTTGATCTTCAAGTTCTTTATTTGTCTAAGATCTTCAAACCACTTCTCTCTCTAGGTGATGGGAGCCTTCTTGTTGTGACAACTTGAATTTTTGTGATAATGAATGTGGTTTGGGACCTTACATTATTTATACTAGTATTCTTCCCATCAAAGAATCCATTTATTCAATGAACTTCATTAAATGGATTAATGTATCTTTTACAATCATGATACATAATGCATCTTCTATATTAATGAACTCATTAGATAGATTAATGTATCTTCTACATTCATAATAGATACATAATGCATCTCTAAGATTCATTCATAATGAATCTATCACATTCAATGCATTGACACTATCTCCATTCGTCTTTTATACATTATGTATATATAGATGCATTCATCAATGATTAGTCACCATCTAATTAATGTACATGTATATTACTTAATGAGATGAATCTAGTATAATCATGTATAAGCCACAGTAAGCCAGATTTAGGAAAAATTCTTACAATCTTCCACTTGGCTTGCATGATTATATTATGTCACTAGATTATCATAATATGGCTAACGTTCTCCCATTAGAAGATTGCACCATCACCATTAGATTCTGTTCAGTGAAATTATTAGCACCAAATCATTGCAGTCAGTGATTTGATCAAGATTGTACAATGGTTGTAGTGTTAATATTTTCCATCAACATGAATAAGTGAATCTTAAATCATAGAGATGACATTAGCAACATAATGGTGCTTAAGGCTAATTCATCTATAACGATCCCGTTGTTTACATCTTCTAAATTGTGCACAAGTATGAAGAATGAAAACAACAAACATAATCATTACTAACATAAGATGATTATAACATAACATTTATCACGAACATAATACACTCATTTCAAGTCTAAACATGATAAACTTTCTACTAAGCCCATGCGTAACATGTTCTTGAAAGAACTTAGGTGTGAGACCTTTAGTTAGTTTAGTTTATCCACCCAAAAAGTGAGACCTTTAGTTAAAGGATCTGCTAACATGAGTGTAGTGCCAATATGAGCGATGGAAACAGTCTGATTCAGAACCCTTTCTTTAACAACTAGATACTTGGTATTAACATGCTTTGATCCTCCTGAAGTTTTGTTATTATTGGAGAACCGAACAGCAACATCATTATCACAATAAATCTGTAAAGGCCTCAAAATTAAATCGACAAGTTGTAATCCAGATATGAAATTCTTTAGCCATACTGCATGACATGTTGCTTCATAACATACTATGAACTCTACCTCCATAGTGGAAGAGGTTGTCAGAGACTGTTTATGGCTCTTCTATGAAATGGGTCCATTAGCAAGCATAAAAATGTACCCAGAAGTGGACTTTTGAGTGTCTTTACATCCAGCATAATCAGTATCTGAATAACCAATTACTTCAAGGCTGTCTGTTCTTTTATAAGTGAGCATGTAATCCTTAGTGCCTTGTAAATATCGCAACACTTTCTTAACTGCTTTCCAATGATCAAGTCTAGGATTGCTTTGGTATCGACCAAGTATACTAACTACAAATGCTATGTCAGGTCGTGTACAAACTTGAGCATACATAATGCTCCCAACTGCAGAGGCATAAAGAATTTCTTTCATTTGTTCCCTTTCTAAACTATTTCTAGGACACTGAAATTCACTAAACTTATCACCCTTAACTATAGGGGCAACACTACTTGAACAGTTCTACATGTTGAACCGTTTAAGAACCTTTTCGATATAGGCTCTTTGGGACAATCCTAAAATACCACGAGACCTATCTCGATAAATTTCTATCCCAATGACAAAAGAGGCTTCACCAAGATCTTTCATTTCAAAATTCCTCGTAAGGAATTGCTTTGTCTCATGTATCATTCCTAAATTATTGCTAGCAAGCAATATATCATCAACATACAAAACTATAATGCAGATATTGCTCCCACTGATTTTAAGGTGGACACATTGATCAACCACATTATCCTTAAAATCAAATTTGGTGAGAACTTCATGAAATTTAAGATACCATTGTTGAGATGACTACTTTAGACCATATATGGACTTCTTAAGCCTACAAACCATATTTTCCTTGCTTTCATCTTGAAAAACTTCAGGTTGGTCCATGTAGACCACTTCATGCAAGTCACCATTCAAAAAAGTTGTTTTAACGTCAATTTGATGTAACTCTAAATCATAATGAGCTACTAAGGCCATGACTATTCTCAAGGAATCTTTATTAGAAATAGGAGAATAAATTTCTTTATAGTCCATCCCTTCTCTTTGAGTGTATGCTTTAGCAACTAATCTAGCCTTGTATCTTTCGACATTGCCTTTAGGATCATGCTTGGTTTTAAAAACCCATTTGCATTCAACAGTTTTGGCTTCCTTAGGCAATTCTACAAGATCCCAGACATTGTTGTCTTTCATGGATTTTAACTCATCTTTCATGGCATTTAACCATTGAGTTGCATTTCCATTTTTCATGGCTTGGGCATAAGAAATAGGATCGTTCTCCAAGCCTATATCACACTCATTTAGGTAAACCTCATAGTCATCTGATATGGCTGATTTATTTTCTCTTTGTGATATGCGTAAAGGTTGTTCTGCAACTAGGACAACTTCTTTTTCAATGTGAGAAATCTCTTGAGTACCAACATTATCCATAATAGGTTTAGGTACTTCATTTTCTTGGATGATCGTGGAAGGCGTAAAAGCACGATTTTCCTCCAAAGAAACATTTTTGAGATTCATACTCCCACTAATGTTTTCATCCTCTATGAACACAGCATTCTAGTTTCAATAATTCTTGTGCTATGAGTGGGACAATAGAATCTAAAACCCTTTGATCTCTCAGGATATCCAATGAAATAACAACTTATAGTTCTAGGGTCTAATTTCTTTATTTGTGGATTAAAATATTTTGTTTCGGCAGGGCAACCCCATACATGTAAATAATTCAAATTAGGTTTCCTACCAATCCGCAACTCATAAGGAGTTACAGGCACAACCTTACTAGGAACCCTATTAAGAACATGTACAACAGTTTTTAAAGCTTCACCCCACAAGTAATTTGGCAAAGAAGAGTTACTCATGTCCAAAAGAGTACGGTTTCATCGCTCAGCTACACCATTTTGCTCAAGTGTACCGGGCATTGTGTAGTTAGCAATAATACCATTCTCAGCTAAAAATAAAGCAAAAGCACTTGGATTTTGACCCAACTC